TGCTGTTTATAGACACCCACCAAGAGGGGATCACCGAAATGATTAGAACTCATCCTCTGAGTTCCATGAATAAATAGTTATTGAGATATTTTGCTTTCGGCTTGGCTGTGAAACCAACAAGAAGTCTGTCCGGCATCGCTGCCAGTTTATTAAATGCAGCTATTACTTCAGTCAAAAACAGCTTCTGTCATGCCTTGTTTTCTTATCAGACTGTGCTCGAGCCCAGAGAGCTGGAAGTGTAATTGATGTTTCACAGGAAGACAGTGTGGTGCAGATTCTTCCAGTGGCCCCGATGCAAAGTTGAGATGCACCAAAACTTAACTGTGGGAAAGACTCATCCACGGCTTTACTCGATGCGCTGCACCGTCAGCGAGGTTACGGAAAGGACAACAGACAGAGAGAACATGCTGTATTCCAAAACCTTAAAAAGCACTTGCTGGGGGATTAGTGGGTCGACCCGCAAATGTCAGGATTCCCTTCAATGATCTGCAGCACGAGTCAACGAGGTGACAACGGTGCACAAAGTGTTGCTAGCTGAAAATCCCTCACTGTCCTATATGACCGCATAATGACTACATGTCATTGCTAATGCTGCACACCTGCTGTATTTATATAGTGTCAAACCAGATGTAATGCACACGTGGGCGTTTAACAGGATGTTTTAGCAGCACTTCAGACCAATTCAAATACGAGTTCAACATGAGTGTCATTAGGCAACGTTATAATTCATACACACTGTGGTCATCAGATGTCCCTCAGTTTTCTTTCCCGTTTTGTGCTGTTGCCACAAAGCAATGCAAAATGGTTAATTATAAATAAAATTAATATCATTATTCATTGTTAATTCCCTAATTTGTCCTATTTGAAGCCACTAACCTGCACTAGAATCATCAGTAAAGCATTTCGTAGCACATCTGACAGGCCGATGGATGAAATGGATCCATTTCCTAACTCAGAAACAGACACCTGCTCTCTCCTAAACACTCCACATCCCAGCGCTTTGTGTAGAAAGCATTCAGCTGCATCACAGATGACGTTTTCCTCCCTAACATTCTCTTACTAGTCAATGCCCGTGGGTTTGGTTTAAACTTGTGATTGTCGCTGTGCGCTGACTGAAAGGCCAATCTGTTACCACAGCTCTTCATTTTCTAACATCGCTGTAATCTTCACAACTGCATAATCATGATTGTTCCTTTTTTTCTTTCAGCCGCTGAATCATAAAGGCTGACATTTACTGCTATATGGTTTCACTCATCACACGTAACGGAGAGAAACTTTAAATGTCGTTGTTTTCTGTGCTTTTTACAGTCAATGAAGTGTTCTGTTCAGATTGAAATCACACCATCAGATACTTACAGCACATTCATGATTCTGCTCCACTGCTGCCACTAAATACAGCTCATCAACAATAACGTACTGAAGAGTCGTCTCCACTACATCACATCCCACCTGCAGTCTCCTTTCACACTCTTTGGACTGACCTTTGCTGTATTTCCATCCAGACAGAGAAAAGAGGGACTCACCTGTCACAAGTGTTCGTACTGAAAGTGTTGTCCTAACTGTTAGCGTCCTAAAATTCAAAACCACATCTCCCCCACTGCTCCGTTTGTCATGTGGTGCACAGTCAGCGAAGGGCATTTAAACCAGCACATTGTAAAACCGTTCCTGTTTCTGCTGTTAGTAACATCTGGAAGCACGTGCACGTCCAGCTGTGCTCACAGCCGGTGGAAGGTGGCCGGCACAGACTGCGCACAGAACTGGAGGAGTCTCTTACTGAGGATGACGCCGGCGCAGACCAGCGCGAGGCCGCTGGCCACCGTGGAGACGACGACAGCCAGGATGAGCGACGTGGACATCTGGCCCTGAGGAGCGACGCCTTGAGGAGCTGCTGGGAAGAGAGCGGAGACATGTTTTATGTGATAGATGTGGAGAAAAGTTAGTGAAGATGAACTCCTAACACATCGTGGCTGCTATGACCCTGTGAGTCATTTGAAGTATTTTGCTTGTGTTTGGCTGGCTTGTGAATGAGTGAATTAGGAGCAGGTGGTGTCCTCTGATTGGCTGCCTTGCCTGCTGCCTCACCTGATTCCTGCAACGCGATTGGTCGGGGGTCCCTGATCTATTTGAACAGCCCGCACTCTGTCTCCTCACCTCTCCAGCATTGCCACCACCAAGAATCGTCAGCAAGCCTCATCTTTTTCTCTTATTTGATTTTCATAGGCGGTAAAATATTGTCATTTATTTACCTTTTCTTCTGTTTATGGAAACTACGGTTAAGTTAGAATATATATGTTTATGATGTTGGCTCATGTCTCCCTCTGAAGGAAATAAAAAAACTGCTCTTTTTGAACATGACATACTGGTTGCTGGCCTTTCTTGGAGTGGGCAGACTGGGGGAGCACAAGTTCATGTTGTGTAAAAAGTTCCCCTCGACCGGGGCCAAACATGGCTGCTCTCCTGAAGAAAAAGCAGTGTTTGCTGGGCGTGATGCCGTACCTACTGTACCCACACACGTAACGTTGTCGCTGGCCAGGACCTCGTCGTCGTCACAGAGACACAGGATGAAGTGAGTGTCTTCGTCCCGTTTGCAGCTCTGCGTCTGACAGTGGCTGCAGTTCAGCTGCACCTTGATGTCACACTCCCCATGACTCTCCATGGCTGGAAGAAACAACACACACACAAATAAAGAAACTCCAGAAGGGAAATTATTCCTTCAGTAGGGAGCTCCTCAGTGCAGGATACTTTGATTCTGGAGATATTCTGCATTTTTCTTCATGCCAACAAAATGACAAAAGACAAAAATCAGCTGTGGTGAACATTTACACTGTCTTGAGTCCTACATGCACGTTCCTGCTATAAAGTCTGACTCCAGCACCAAACTGACGGCTGAAAACACCTCACGTTTGAAAGGCGTGTTGTCTTTAGAAATCAGCGAAACTACAGCGTTTATCAGAGGCAGGATCTATGAAAGCAAAACATCTGGTCAGATTTTCAACTTTCAGACCACATGTGATTAAAAACCCAAAATATTTTGCACTACTTTGCACAACCAGGAAGCCATCAGTGATTCAGCTGCAAACCGAGCTGCAGATTACACAGAACAGAGAGAAGACAAACATGGAAACACAGAAAAATGTAAGTAGTAAAATATCTACAGCATGTGGAAGCATTACTTACTGCAGAAAGAATGTTGTACATAAAATAATATTTATGGCATTATGACTGCGTCACACTGCACAGAAGACATTCCTGAGTTCTCTCTACTTGTAGTTATTGTTGTGCTGTTTCCATAGAGGAACATACGACTTTAAATGCAGTAAAAAAAAAAAAAAGAACACCCAGCGAGTAAAAATGTAAGAGGAGTAAAGAAAAAAACAGATTAGGTTGCAGATGGTTAATGGTTTAGTAACACTTCAGTGAACAGCTTCCCTTTTTGAAGATCTATATCTTCCATTGTGGGTCTTGTGCTCACATTTACATGACTCCACGTGTGTCCTTTAATCTCTAAACATACGTGTAATCCGGGTATCAGCTTGTATTTGTGTAAAATTCATCTTGTGCATGTAACAGAATGTTCAGCTAGTACATCCATACATGCAACACAGACAGCCACGCTTGCTCAGGTAATACATTTAAATACCATTACTGGGTATTCATACATGATTCATTCCAAGCAGGAGGAGGCAGGCTTGTGCCATGTATGTCACATATTAAAGTCCATCTCTGGGTATTAATTAAAAGCCTAAAAACTCATCTCTGTGTATTGTTTTTTGCCATTAAAATAATTCTTTCCTGCCTTAAAACGGCTTCGACACTGTACTGCTGCTCCTGATACAGAAACCCTGCAAAGACTGGTTTATTATTAAACTCCAGACGTTTTAATCACTGCAGTTTAAAGACAAAAAATCCTTTGCAAGAAAAAAAACAACAAACACAAAACCACCACATGGACACGCTAACAAGGTAGAAAAGATTTTCACCAGAGGGGGACCTTTAAACTTCATTTAAGTAAAGCAGATAATTAGACATCATTTGAGACGAACATGAAACTTCAGCTCGTTGCTTTCAGCGTGATTGATGCTGCGGACTCGGTCGCTGCGTTTGAAGGCGATGACAGGCACCACACAAGGAAACAACAACAACATCCTTCACATGAGAATGGAGGTCTGTCTGCTGGTGCCGACGGCAACAGGCAGCATCAGGCCGTGAATTAGCCGACCACCTCCCGCTGAATAATGAGAATCAGATGGCTGCTAGTTCCACCAAAAAAACTAAACAAAACACGCTGCCTATATTCATGCGTGTAAGCCTCAATGTTCCGACAGATATATCGACACAAACAGCTGCAGGCACTTACAAACACACATGTGCACACACACACACTCACACACACACACACACACACTGTACTGACCCACACTAATAAACTCCAAACCTGAAGCAGATCTTCATCTCACCTGACCTCGACCTCACCTCAACAGCTTTAAAATGTAGTGATTTACAGAACGGCCTTCTGTCCCCATGAGAATCACAAATCCCCGCAACAGGACTGCGTAAACAGACTGAAGTCTCCACAACATGAGTAACACCTGACCACCCACACACACACAAGCACGATGCTTCATCCTCAGACAGGATCAGACGTTTGGAAAACAGAAGCTCGGTGACTCAGGAGACCAACAGCGTCTCTTCATGTTGGGTCAGCTGTGTTTGATGCTCTCTGCAGTTTAAAGCAACGGTGCAACAGAACTCTAAAGATGGTTTGGAGTTTTCATATTGCTGCCTGTTGATCCGGGCCGGTATAACCCCCATAACAGGGCTACTGGTCCAGGTCTTTGTTTCCAGGGTTAGGTTCTACCTGCCTATAAGCCCTTGACCTACTAGGATTCTGTAAAACTGCTTAAGCTGGTGTCGAGTACGGAAGCCGAGAGCAGTCAAAACGCCGTTTTCCTGAGAAAACGGGATAATTATCTCGTTATCTCGGGAAAACGGCGATCGTTTCCCCAAGATAAGAAGATAATTATCCCGCTGACAGTTCCGGCTGTCACTTCAGCCTTCATCAGAAGTTGTCGGACTTCCTGGTGTGACGTATCTTATATAGACAGCTGACCGGGAACTCCGACATGACGTGTCATGAGAACAGCTGACTGGGCACGACAACTTACAATGAAACGCTCGTCCCTGGGCTCGTCTGTCCTCCGGCCCCCCGCTGGTGACGGAGGATGGAATCCCAGGTGTGTTGGAGGTCCCACACACGAGAAAATTAACTCGTTATCTCGAGAAAACGGCGAAGAAAGAACAGTAGCAGAAAACGATCGCTCTCGGCTTCTGTAGTCGAGGAAACTCGCCTAGCTTCTAACTGCCTTAGTCCAGACGCCTGCTCCGCTCCTTGACTCAACTAAGTGGCCTCAGTAGTCGAATCTCTCCACCAGACACGCCTGTTGGTGGTAGCTTTCCTCTTAAATGGATCGAGCACTTGATAATTTGCTGGATTAAAATGTAGAGGTTTGGGACATCTAAGCCCAGGGATATGTTTAAAAATTTTAATCATGACTTAGAAAAACCATTAAGAACCACTATAAAGATCTCATGCATGCAGCTGACTAATGTTTCATCAGATGCTGTGAATGATTCAGGAAAATTTCAAACACATAAAATGCAGAATTAAATATTTCTTGCAAACAACAAACTGAAGGCTGGTGTCTGAGTTTGGATGTAATCATTAATCCTGTAGTTTTGATGTAAATATAACACACCAGTCACCAATTCATCATTTCATTTCTTCATGTTACATAAAGTAGCTGCTGCTCGATTAACTTGTTCTTTCTCCACATTTTTGATATAAATATCGAGTTTCTGCAGGGAAACCTCAGGAATGCTCGTCCCATCCTCGTTGTCACTGCTCATCTGCTTTATTTATCTGGTGCATTTTATTAATTTGCTGTCTGGTCTGTTCAGCTGTTATAGAGCTTTAATCAAGTTCTACTTAGTTTTTCTTTTTTTTTTTTTTTTTAGACCTTTTAAGTTCATCTGATGGTCTTTATTTAAGGGCTGATTTTGATCTGTGAGAAAATATCCTCCACCTGATGTCCATTTCCTGTTTTTTTTCTGCTGCTTTCATCTGCGTATCGCTGTCATCACCACGAGATGGAATTCACTCTCCTTTTCTTTTATACTACACTTAATTCTTCATTCTGGTTTTCAGGGCTTTTTACTCGCTGCTTGAGTTAGTTCTTTATTTATTTTCTATTCTGCTTTACTTGAATCTATTCGACTCACCTCTAATTTATAACGTCCAGTTCCTACCTACAAGTGTATTTTTATTTTATTCAAGTTTGAGCAGAAACATCTTCACCAAATGCAGCCCATTTTCCCAAAGCTTTTATCTCCCAAACTCTACTGGTGGAGTTTGTTCCTTATTCCACTTGACTCTATTATTGTACACTCAGCTCTGACCTACTTTATTCTGTTCTACTTTACAAACAGCCTTCAACTTTCTCGCTTTAAAAAAAAAAAAACTTATCAAAAGCATCTCATGGTCCTCATTCGGGGACGGGATTTGGGCTCCTGTATTCCTTTCTGCTCCCTGCTTCAGCTTGGTTTTATGAATACATTTCTATATAATGACTCTGTGTGAGTCTCACCCGCCAGAGGCTGCAGGAAAATCTCCCCCATCGGATGGATGAATGAAATCCCGTTCTGACCGTCGGCTGTGATCTCATCCATCAGCGCGGCGTCACCTCCTGTCAAAAAGAAAAAGGATGTTCTGAACTCTGCTGTCACTCAGTGTTGCAAATAATGTGACTTTCTGATAACATGATGACAGCTTTTTGTGCTCGGCGGTGCGTGAACTGTATCCTGGTCAGTTTGTCGATACTCTTTTTGATGAAACACCTCCGGTTTGTACCTCGGTGTGATGACTTTGGAGTGATTCTACATTTGATCTGCTCTGGTTCTTGTAGGCTGTTACATGACTGAAGCATAAAAGCATAGAGCTAAAGACAAAGAAAACGAGAAAATGCAATAATAATACTATTAAATTTCAATTATTCAGGCTTTTCCCCTTAAAATGATGTAGTTTCCTTTAACTGTATAAGAATCCCATTCATGAAAACACCGAGACAAAAACAAGTCATATTTCAGATTAAAGCAAAGTGACGGCATTAAAATAACGACATTAATTCTGGGTTAAAGTCACAAGACGGAACAAGGGAGAAGTAAATGCAGAGATCTGACAGAATGCTGTTACCTCTGTACCCTCCTCCACCGCCTCCAGCTGTGCAGGCTCCACCTCCACCTCCAAAACCTCCAAAGGTTGACCAGCTGAGCTTGGACAGGGCCAGAGGACACGAGGAACCTCCCTCTGCCCCTTCCACCAGAGACTTGCCAGCCCTCAGGTGAGGACTGGGAGCGTCTTTCCAGCCGCCGCCGCCACCTTTCAGGGAAACAGAACGATTCACTGTTACAAGAACCATTTAGGAACATGTAAAGCGTGGCTGGTTCCTGTGTTGGGTGAGTAAGAACGATACAAAATCTGTTTATCCTGAGGCCTAAATGATCCACAACCTTTAAAGTACGGTCCAGTTCTAAACATCATGGAGTTTAGATAAGGTAGCCATGTTCTTATAATTAACAAAAATCCCTCTACTTTCACAGGCTCAGCTCGTGCTTCGTAAACTCATCTTGATGTGACGAGTGTTACTTTCGGTTTCCACTGAAGCCCCTTTCACACATGAACCTCGTTCCGTTCATCTGACGGCGGCCGAACGCGTCGGCCTCGTGTCTGAATGAGCACCCCGGTCATTTAGCAGGACCGATCATGGGCACTCCTGCTCTCCAAGAACTGCTTGAGCAGGCCACGATCAGGCAGGCTAATAATATCCTGCCGACACATCTCATGCGCTGTTCCATGAATATGTTCTGCTGAATTCCAGGAAGAGATATAGGGGTTCCTTTATGTAAACAGAACCATGACAAACACACATTCAGTCAGTAAAGCTCCTAAATGAGCAGTGAACGAGTAAGGAAGTACGTGTGTGTATTGTTGGCTAGCGTGTATTTGGGGCAGGTGTCCATATGCTTATCTATTGTTACTGATTCCTGTACATCTTTAGCATTTATTGCCGACTTTCTTTAGCATCTCTTTGTTTTGTTCTTGATTTTTTTCCTACAAGTTGATGCCAGAAGTCTGAACTTCGGCACCACCATTGGTCCAAAAAAAACATCATGAAGGACACTTAATAGGATACAGTTAGTGTTCTAGGATCCCAACACTCCTTCTTCAGTCCCTTTGCTCTACAATTACACATCTGTTAGGCTCCAATCTGACATTTCCACTAAACTAGACCTCTACAGCTTAGATGAACCATACTCACCGATAGCGAATGTAATCTGGGGTTTTGTTTCTTTCATAAGACATTAACAGGAGTTGTTGCTTCCAGCTGTTTAGAAGTATTTCCTCTGAGTTTATTAAATACCCGTAGCATTAGACAGTGGTAGGATCACGGGGCATCTCTTAAGAGAGCGCTGCAAGCATTTAGTGGAACATCAGCACTGGTCACTTCTAGTATTATGGTGTTATAGTTATATTACAGTGTGCATAATGCAGCTGTGTTGGTTATGTCTGAATGAAGCCTTGAGGACCAGTAATGGAAAAGTGACCTGTACTGATTAAGCCAGCAGTGCTCAATATGTCCACAAAGGGCTTCAGATCCACTGCAGCCAATACAGCAGTGACGGGGCACCACCGAGCCAAACAGCCAGGCGTTGGGCGCTCATTGGTGATCGCCATTGCTTGTGGTGTTTGCTGTGTGTTTGGTTCTGTTGGGACAAGCCAGTCCTCACAGGTGACTGCAAACTCTCCACTTTGAATCAGCAGCAATGGCAATCAGAGAGAAACCGTTGTGTGTTTGTCATTCAGCCAAGAAATCAGACTGTGGTCAGAGCCTGTCGGTGAGAGTCACAAACAGCAAGATTTTCTAAGGGCATCGGAGCCCAGTCATGTAGAGACGATGACTAACAAGGTGGGAGGACTTCCAACAGGAGGTCTGAGTGTAGCTCTTGATTTGCCCACCGTTTGTTTATTTGTGTGCTCGTAGGCAGCCGGTGGGCGGATGTGGACGGGTCAACAGCAAAGCTTCAGCCATTCAGCTTTCAAAGAAGTGTTAAACAAAAAGGCATCGGACCACTTAGAGTCAAGGACACTGAGGCCACGCCGTGTATTTATATATATGTGCAGTTTGAATTTAACACAACGAAGACCAACAACTGTCACAATGAATAAACAAGGGGTTCAAACATCAGATATCAAAGCCTCTGATCTACACAGGGCAAACAAAAGCAGATTTTAAATGAACAGCACATGTTCCTAAGCCTTAGCAAATTTAGAAAATTCCCAAATGTCACTCCGTGGATCATGACACACATGATACGGGCTCATGTGATGGCAGGATGACCACGCTCAACATCGGCACAGACGTTTCACAAACATGCACTATATATGCAGGCAGAGTTCCCACAAAGACATGTACAGACACACAGACCTCCTGTACTCAGAGCTCCATATACGCCCTGACGCTCAGATCTTTATCTAAACCATCCCACGGAGGTTTCAATAAGATGAGCAGATAGATGATCTGTTTTGAGACGCCGCCGGCCCGGAGGGATTTACTGAGAACGTTCCGGCAGGCGTTTCCAGGAGCAAAGAGAGACGTCTCTGCCATATATGTCGTTCTTCAAGGGTCAAGACCCGTCAGGAAACTAAAAATATGAACCAGATACATCCCATTATCCACAGGCCAAACACAGCCGGCTGTGTGGAGGCACACATGCATGCCAACCCAGCCAGTGTGAACGCAGAGCAAACAAATCCTCTCATGTCCTTCAACCAACACCCAGGTTCTCATGCTGCCTTTTAGAGAAATGAAAAGCGTGTTTTCGACATCACAAAGCACTGCGACTTCACTCACTTTCAAAGAGAGAAACCGTGTGGCATCTGAGGCTTATAGGACATTAAGCATCATTTGGCTTTGATCATACAGATGGAGGTCCAAAGACATCAGAACGTTTACCTTCAATACGTAAATTAAATTGCACATGCTGGGTGTTGTTTCTATTCTTTCTTTCGGTATCATATAAGGGCCAATGTATGCTCAGACTGATGGAGGCTTGTGGACAGCAGACGGTTCTGTTCGTACCACAATAGAGAGTCTGACAGTTGAATTTCCCCTCATAGTGGCGTTCCTGTGAACGTTTCTGAAAGGCTGTGACTTTGCACTGATTGCACCGTACAGCAGCTCCTTACAGACTGTACAGCAGCAGCAGGTCGGTGTGATTGTTCTCGAGGCGTGCCGAGGCTGGATGTCGTACAGGACATTGTAGAACTTCCCAACAAAGCACATCAGCACTCTTTTATTAAGAAATTATACTTCATGAACTGCTGCCGGTTCACAAAGCACTGAACGGTTCAGGGCCAGAATGAACCTTCTTCTCGTTATGAACCATCCAAAGCTCCCAGATCATCTTCTACTTTATGCCCGTGAAGTCAAATCAAAACACACAGAGGCAGCTTGGAGTTTTTCACACCACAGATATGGAACAAACTCGCAGAAAACTGAAGGTCTGCTGCAGTTCTCAGTTGTTGTTTTTTTTGTCTTTTCCTTTTTATCAAACCAAATCTGAGGCTGCTGCACTGTAACTTTTCCTTTTTTATTCTATTTATCTCCTTTAATTGGACAGATAAACTTGTCTATAAATGTGTGGATCACAGCAAATCTCTGCTTACCAAACATTAGTTCTCAGCGCTGTTTGTTTTCCCAGCACATATGCAGACGGTGCACGGTCACAAATATCTGCAGAGGTGTCCGTCCACACCCTCGCAGACTTGGATGGACGCCTCGCCTTGCAGACCCGGACATGTGGAAAGCATGACTTGGCCTTGGCGTCTTATTAACACTTATAAACCAACAGCCAATAACCTTGCATCTGGGATCCTTTATCGAGTCACAAAATGTTCCGAAAGAGGTTTTGAAAACTCTACATCAACAAATCTGTCAGGATCTCTGTGATGCTTTTCTTGCGGATTTCAGGTCGCGGTTGCTTACAAAGCAAGAAGTGAAGCTTCACTAAACTGAACTGAAGTTTATTTATTGTGTAAGGCGCCAAGCAAACCCACATCACAGCGCTCGAGTTGGAGCGTGCTGCACGTTGCCCACGCCTCTGCTCTGCTGTGGAGTTAATGAATAAATAAAATGCCCCCAGAATATTTGGTAAATCCTTTTGTCCACCCAAACAATGGCTCTGGTGCTTCTAGACCTCACTGTCTTGATAAATAGAGTCTATCTCTTCCTAAACTATCTACATGTGTGCATAAATGGGATGTAGTGTTTGGTTGTTTGGGGCTTTACAGAGGCAGCACAGTGTCGGTGGTAGTGATAGATTAGATCACCTGCTGCCCCAGTTTGACCGTTGATACTGGGAGCTGCTGTGCTGTTTTCGAACTGCTCCAGTGGGATCTCGTCCGGGTTGGACTCTGGGTCCTCCAGGTAGGCGTTTCCTCCACCGCCGGCTGCGATCAGCAAAGGCACCAGCTCGCCGGCCTCCATCTGACAACGTGACACCGGAGTGACTCACTTTTTAACTGAGCGGTGCACAATCACACTGGACGTTCAACATTTCACTGAAAAGTGATTAAATTTTTTTGACAAATTGAATACGACCCAGGAATCCCCAGTGTTATTAAAGAGGAGAGACGATAATAAGTGGGAAGAAGAGATTATTGATGCTCTCTGGAGGAGAGGATATGACAGATCTATATTTAAACCCGTGGATTAGAGTGTGAGACTCTGCTGAATCATTTCAACATGCCTTCAGACATTTCTGATGCCTATCAGCTTATCAGGCCCACAGAAAGGACACGCAGTTTTCAAACAGCACCGAGTCTCTTCAGGCACCTTATAGATGTAAGTGGCTCCCCCTCCTCCGCCTCCTCCTCCGGCCCACTCCGCACCGGCCTCCACCCGGACGTTGCCTTCGATCACAGACGACTCTCCCAGGCAGATCTTCTGGGTGTAGGGATTTCTCTACGCCGCGAGAAGGAAAAGGAGAGTAAAGCTCCAAACAAACCAAAAGAAAGACTTCAAAACACATAAATTCAGGAGGCAAGTAAATTCTATCTGGGTCAGTCTCTTGTGTGAGGACGTCTCCCCTCCGTCCCGTCCCCACCCTCACCCGACTCACCCCCGGACACGCGTCCTCTCCCTGGTGGCCCACCAGGATGTAAAGTATGTCTCCCTTCTCCAAAGGAAATATCGCCGATATAAAGACCCCGTGGTTGCGCTTGTTGTGGTTCTTGGCTCCTTTTCCTCCTGCGGCGCCGTAAGCAGAGATCCTGAGGGAGATCATTGCAACACAAGAGGATTAAATTCTACGATTGAAAGAAATTGCCTTTTTGGCTCGAGCTCCACAGTATACATCATATTAGCTGGACTGCAGTGCACTCGAGCAAACAGCTGGAGACGTCCGTCATCAGCCAGACGATTCAGCCTTCTAAAGATTTCCTTTTACAAACCGTTGCTATCAATAGAAGGTCCAGGTGTGTGTCATTTATTCTGAGCAATTTAACATCCTGTAAATCCCACTATTGATCCTTCCACTTCTGTGCTGCTTCGTTCTGTGCCGTGGGTGTGATAATTAGGTTCGCTGACAAAGATTGAAATGCGAGAAGTCTTGGTCTGGCAGGAAAACAAGCAGGTACGCTGAGCTGGGTCAGAACCGTTTAGCCACAGGACACACTGTCACACCTATAAACTATCACGTAGCCCAGATCTCTGAGTCACAGATGGATGAATGGCGTCTCTTCAGGGTCTAAGCTTCTAAAATGAGTCGATTACGGATGATCTTTTTCTCCTGTTGTGGCTCGTTTGAGATGCCGACCTGTAAAATACTAAACTGAGTTGTTTGTACATAACGTCACACATTACTGATGAGTTTCCTCAGTTTTCGGCCCATATAGGCCACAGATCATCCTCACAGTTCCTCCTCTCAGTCCCCTGTTCACGCCTCAAACCCAACGCGAATGGGCTTTTTGGGTTATCGCACCCAGACTCTGGAACAGTCTCCTGTTTCACATTAAGTCCTGTCCCACTCGTGGCAATGG